AACAAGTAAAGATTAAAACAAGTGGAGACATTGGCATAGGTAAAATGGAATGGAATGGACTGATATGCAAGTGATGGAATGGAATTAATTTGTGAAACTTACAGGTAGCAGCTGTTTCCTTCTTGTACCCAGAACTTGGCACATGCTTCTGTCCTGGTCGGGTCTGGATTCACTGGTCCTATGGTTGGTCCTCCACCCGGTAAAACGGGACCGCCAGCACCGGGCAACTGGGCTCGGGAGAAAGAGGCCAAAGCCAATACGCACACCAACACATAGACGAAACCCCGCATCTTCCTGGACAACGTGCGAGACTTCTGGATGTAGGAAGATTCCGTGGAGTGGTTTAACTGAAGCTTGGAGGAGAGACCTAAAGGTTGATTCTGAGCTGACCAACTCGAGTCGATGACGATGGTATTATCCTATTTGGCCAGGTGTGACAGTCCTATTTATACGATACATTTTGGATCGGACAGACTTTTGTCAATCAGTATCCCCCCATCTCGAAGCGCTATGCAGAGTTGACAACGCACACTTATTACGTTAGCTTCCGGTCACCACTGTAATGTCCGTGGTTAAAGTAGGAGGGGCGATGGATGATGACGATATTGAAGTGTGAATGAGAGAGAGGCGCTGGTGCAGGAGACAGTGAGGTTAGGTAACAATGGATGACTAATCCTCATTTATTTGTCACAGATCTTGAATCTTTATTTAGCAATTCGAATGATTGACAAAATAATAACAGCCTTTATCTTTTTCCTTTTTATATTTCGTCATTCAATTAGGGAGGGGTATTTGTCCCCTATCTCAATCTAGCTAAGCCATTGCTGTACACGATTGCTTGATATATACCTCATGATACTAAGAGTTAACCACATCGCAGCAGGACACTAACCCCGTACAGACAGTGGCGTAATGACCAACAACTTTTGAGGGGTCAAAACAAAATCCTTATCACCACCAAGTAGCCTAATGCAGGGGCGGCGGAGCGTCTTCCAAAGTAGGTAGGGGGCACCAACCAAAAAGGGCACTTTCTCGAAAAAGGGGGCACTTACAAAGGGAAACATGAAGAAAACCTACACCATTTTAAGACATTGGTATATACCCCTACATCGTCATGATTGTGATTACACAGCCAGGGATGATATCAATATTTGTTTCTTTCTTTAAGGGGTACAAGATACTGCTTACTTAAGCAACATACTTTGCAGTTAGGTGTAACAGTGATGGTCTGAATATTAATGTTCGAACGAGCGAAGCGTGCGAGCAAAAACATTAAGATTTGTGAGGTCCCATTGCCAAAAATTATATCTTATTAAGAAAACCAAATCCCCTGATGAGTATTAAGCCCAATCTAATGAAGAAAGACTGAGAAGTTCTTTTTATATTAGTAACATAATTTCAACATCTATAAACGCGAGCGAGGGTAGCGAGCAAGCTCTAGGAAAAATGAAAGAAAAAGGAGCTCTAAGTCGCCTTGGATTAGGGAGTGCATGTTATGGAGAAAGGAAAAGTAGGCACTTTTTCAGAAAAGAAAAGGTGTTCGTGTCAAAGTAAAAAGGGCAATTATCAGATCCTTAAGAGGTGATGGAACTTCTTGCTCCTGAAAAGGGACACTCAACAGTAATGAAATGAGGCACTTGTGAGAATGGAAGTGTGGAATCTGTTGGAGGAGAAGGGCACCTATCAGAATTTGATAGGGGCATTTATCAGATGTTAAAAGGGGTTTTTTGAAAAGGGGGAGGGGCACATATAAAAAATGACAAGGGGCACTTATCAGAGGAGAAAAGTGGCATTTCAGAGGAAGTGAAGGGGGTTGTTATTAAGTAGGAAAAAGTATACTTATTAAAAAGTAAAAGGGGCACGAGTCAAAGTAAAAACAAAAAAGGGCAAAAATATCAGAGGTGAAAAAAGGAATTTCTCGCACCTAAAAAAACGCATACTCACCAGAGATGAAAAGAGAGGAAAAGGACAGTTATTATAAAAGAAAAGGGGCACTTGTTCGATGTAAAAATGGGTTGTTTGTGGGTACCTGGAATAGTGGGTGGCACAGTGCCACCCACCCCACCGGTAGTGCCGCCTCTGGCATAATGGGCAAAAATTAGAGAAAAAAACGGAAAATCATGTCATTTCAGCAACATTTGTAAATCACTGGTATCGAATTAGAAATAAACCACGTTTTATTTTTTTAAATTTTGCCTTATTACCAAATACCCTGTGCAAACATCGTTTGATTACTGGCGCACTGGCTATCACCTATCAGAAACCGTCTAGTGTTAGAATAGCGCTGGTGATGACATAATCAATTGACTCTTTGTGTGCAATGTGTAGTTTAAGAATAACACACTGTTTACCACATTCTTCCACCGAAACTCTCACATGCTATTTGCGCTGCACTACTCAAGAAATATCCACTTCCTAGATTATAATTACCATTCCTGTTAACTATATCCACTTTAGATAAATGAATAATAAGTATCTTCTAAGAATTACATGACAGTTAGTTTACATTCACATTTATATTTGACATTGACTTTGCAGATACTGACATTGTTAGTTTCATTTCTTTGTTTAAAAAAAAAATAAAAAATTTAAAGCTGTTTTGAGAGTTGAAATGTGTGTAAGTTTAAATTACTGCTTTTATATTTTTCTTCCTCTATCGTGACTTTTACAAAAACTCCGGAATTCATCCGTTGTTATCATGCGCGACATGAAACATGATTAATCACTTCAATAATGATCATAGTCATTATATTGTTATTATAAATATTATTATGTTCCTCAATATATTCATCTCCAGTAATGCATATTTTTTTTTTGGTCGTTATTATTGTCGTTGAAATTGTTATAAATATTTTAAGTATTACTAGCATTTCCATCAATATCGTTGTTATCATTATCATCATCATCATTATCATCATCATCATCATCATCACCATCATAATCATCATCATCATCATCATCATCGTCATCATCATCACAATCACCTTCATAATTATCATCATCCTCATCATTATCACCATCAACATTATCACCATAATCATCGTCATCAATATAATTATAATTGATATAATCTATTCTACTCGTAAAAATGTGTATTCCCTGTAATGCCCTGTAATTCCCTGTAATTCAATTATGATAAGACCATGTCGCTATCGATGAATTCAAGGATTTAAGGTCCAAGATTTCAGGAAAACTTTTATTGACACGCTGCGCACTAATCTGTTAGCTGTTTGGCTGGCTTGCAGCCACCAGTCCCATTTTCCCTTCAGAAGTGTTCTCCTTTCATGCATACAAGTAATACGTTATTACACTGTAAAACAAGTTGGGCAGATATTACTGGGCAAATTTTGTCCCATAATTTGGTTATTTTAAACCAACCACACTCTAAAAAAAAGATACCCAATATTGGGTAAAATGTTACACTTTACGAGGGTAAAAAGGGAACATGCATGTTTGTTGGGTAAAATTTGACACAGGGGTGGTTGCGTAAATATTTTCCCAGCAAATGTTTAATGTTTTACCCAACTGATGTGTAATATATTTTACCCAATGTAAAAGGTAAAATGTTACCCAACGACAACCATGTTCCCTTTTTGACACAACATTGGGTAATTTTTACCCAACTCATCCTGGGTACTCGTTTACTTTGTTCTTGTGTAATTTTGTACCCAAAGTTGGGTAAAATTTTAACCCAACCTTATTGTATGATTTTTTATTTTACACAGATTTGGGTAAAAAAGACAATTTGTCCGAGGAGTTGGCTGGAAAAGTACATGCTTTATGTAGTGTAGTGTATAAGTAGCAGACCTCTCTATCTCTCTCTTGGCTAGACAGTCTTTCGCTTGGCGTGCTCGCAGTAGGTGACTGCATCGCGGATGACATTCTCCATACGAATAATGTGTTGTCCAGAATTATGAGGAATTTCATGTTCATATTGAGAAGATTTACACGCATTCATGCAAATAAATGCTGCGGAAAGACACAAGTGCATGATCGTAGTCTATTTCGAACAAAGTCGTCCACCCTCTGTCGATCTTGAACACGATTGATTCGATGAACAGCTAATTCGGAACGACCGACCACGCTAGGTCGCTAGCGCTTCAATCATAGTTTTTAACATCAGTTGTGTCATAATACCAACGTTTAGCTGTTAAAACTTGTGTTTACCCAACGCGTGGTTCAAATATTAATCTGCATCGTTACTTTCTTACCCCGGAAATGCGCACGGTCAAATTTTGATATGACACTATGGCAAGTGTAATAAAATTTCGAAGGGACTTGGTGTTTGGCACAGGGTTGGGTAATACTTTACCCAACTTTTTTAAACAGCGATTTTGCAAAGCAAAATTTTGCACTCTGTTTTTAGAGTGCATGTAGTAACCGATGATATGATTGGGTAATTTTATTGGGCAAATTAAAGTTGGGCCATTTTTGTCAAACACTTGGGTTATTTTCTCCCAAACATTTACTACATGTACATTGTATTTACCCACTTGAATGTTCAAGATATGTTGGGCAGATCTAACGAGGCAAACATAAGTCGGGCAGCAATATTATGGAACAATTAGGAGTTATTCCTTATATTAAAGGTGACGTAAAGGTGTCGAGATAAATATTTTGCCCAACATTTTTTTAGAGTGTACTTGGAAGTCGCTGGTGGAGGGGTGACCCCTTAATAAATTCAGTAGACGATATTGCTGGGATCCAGACGTCAGTGCAAAATGCTAACGTTCATACGTGCGCGTGGGGTGTTTTTCGAGCACTTCTACAAATTATTTGGCAAATTAGCTAGGCCGTTGTGTAACACAAAAGGAGAATACCAAAAAGTGCATCCTGCCTTTAATATGCAAATCTTTGTAGATAAACCCTTCTTTGATAGATGAACTGTAACGTAATTTTGTCATTTGTCCACATAACTCAGGGCACTAATTATGAACTCGACTAGTGATTATACGCATGTGCCTGAAAGAAAAAGAAAACACTGCAGTACATTCAAGATGTAAAATAACAAATCTCATTTATTCATGAACAAAGAATCAATGTGTACAAGTGAATCACCGACATGAACATAGGCTACATCGTTTCTCATGAATATGACAAAACTCAAGGAATATTTTACAAAGAATCTCTTGAAAAATAAACTGTACAAGAACAAATAATAAAATGTTATCGTATATAATGTAGATACTTTTAGGTCACACACATGTGAGGGAAAAGGAACTGTAAGACGATAACTCTCTAGATAGATTTTAAACACGAAATAAATGAGACGGAGCGGAATTGGAACACAAACAAGTTCTTTTAAAATGGATCACATGCATTCTTTTATCAATGCACATTTAAAACAGACAAGTTGTTTGAAGGCTGATCGGAATGATTTGTTTGCCGATCGGAGAAACGTCAACAGAAGAGTGACTTTGTTACGACGCCCTCTGCTGCGGAACATGTTCAGGAGTGCAGCAGAAGAGTACCTTTGTGACTGTCCAGGGGATATTTGACGATGAGCCATTCGGTTTTCATTCATCATGTTTAAGTGGGTTGTAACTAAGGAAAGTGTTTCACCCCTGTCATACCATCAAACCGACACCCGACCGACTCCAGACTGACCGGTTCTTTTTTTATTCTCAACATTAGAGGTGATTTTTTTTTCTGTCTGGTCTGTTGTCGGTCGGGTATCGGGGTGCGTGGTGTGATTGGGGTTTTAGAATGGAGAGCTCGATTAAACCCAAGCTCAAGGCTGGACGCCGTAAATTGGATTGATCTTGTAGTTGGAGGGCCTCATTTGTTGTCTTTGTGGTACCTCGTGAAGGAGTGACCCCCCAAAACGTCCTCCAGTGAGACGATTGACAATGTTCATAGGGTTGTTCTGAAACTGGACTGGGCTGCGGGTGGTAGCAGCCGTAGGGGGCGCTGTGGTCATTGGAGGAGTGGTTGGAGGATCCGTAGCTGGAGTATCCGTAGTTGGAGCATTCGTAGCTGCAGTAATACCAGATGGATGGTACTCGCAGATGATGGAATGTCGGTCGTTTATGGCTTCTTCCGGAACCCACTGCGGGGCGATCTCCACCTGGTTGTTGAACACCTGATTGGCGATTTCAGCATCAAAGATCATGGCCCCAAGACCTGGCTCAGCCTGTGGGACCCTCATCCCTTCCCAGTTGGTGTAGGTGACTGGTTCTCCGCTATACCACTGCCATAGTCCCGTTGGGCCAACGTGAAGACCAATCCAAACTGGTACAGGCTCAACCATCATCCTGACAGCCCACTCGTACAAGAAGTTGTTCTCTGTCAGGCTGTTGACTGTGACAAGGTTGGCACCTGGGTGCATCTGGCCACAGTACATATTGGCGGCAGCCTGGAAAAGCCCGTTCTCGTTGTTGACGATAAGGGGACCGGAAGCAGTAACTTGTCTCAAGAAAGCACCACTGTCGAACCTGTAGTAAAGATAGTTGGGATCGGCAAATAAAAATGATATTACATCAATCATACGAAAATGCTGTAAAACATGGATATTAGTCGTTGAGAAATATGTTGATCCCCCCCCCCAAAAAAAAAGAAAGAAAAGGGATATGGTTTCAATGAAAATCAAAGCAACACCTACAACCCTCTGAGACTGAAAGCACAGCAGACTAAAATCGCATAGCATTAAACAGGATTCCAAAGCTCGCTTCCTAAATAGGAGTCTTCAAGGTTCGAAATATCATCCTCTTTGATGTCTCTGAGAAACTTAGTCTTGTCCCTAGCTTAGAACTTTACTGCTTACAGAGCTCTACTGGTACGCGTCACGATGACCAAAATATCGACCATCAAGCTTTAGAGGCCTGGAACATTACTTAAATTTGGACGTTTTTCCACTGCCATATACATGTAGGTTTCTCACTTCTTGAACTACACTTTTTAATATACAGGATTAAATACTTTGACGAAAGAAACAATGAATTAATAATTGATTTTTATAACATCATCGCGCGTAAAATACGCACACCAGACTACCAACAGACCGAGCCGGCTGAAAAACCCGTTACCTATATTGCTAAAGAGTCGGTCTTAACCACGGACCAGAAATACTCTATATTACAAATAAGGCATTATTCATGAGATGCTAATATTTATTTATTAGAGCTTACATCTTTCAAATTGCTGCTGTAAGAAACAAACTCTCTGCGATGGGGTCCAACATAGATATTGGACAAAATATCATCGCTGCGATACCAAAAGAACATACAACTAAAACAATTTTTTTATCATAAAATTGCTCTCTTCAAACGGGCAAAACATCAACAGAACCTTCAAAGTAATCAAATTATAATATTTCTGGTTTTCAACAGCCCCTATTCATGGTTGTCATGTTATTCCAATTGAGACAGGCATATATTAAATCACGTTTCGCTGCGCTTTCGGTATGAGATCTAACGCAGCATTCTATATCACAGGAGGAAGATCATACAAAGCAAGGACAGCGAACTGAGATGATTTCGCTGTCCCGATGTTGCGATATGTCTTAATATGATAGGGAATATCGCGTATGCTGTTGGTGCGTAGCAGCGAACCGGAAATTAGTAAAAGTGATTTGAACCGGTTCTTGAGGACTGTAATGGAATAAAAGTGTGCAACTTACAGGTAGCAACTGTTTCCTTCGTGTACCCAGAACTTGGCGCATGTTTCTGTCCTTTTCGGGTCTGGGTTCACTGGTCCTAGGACTGGTCCTCCAGCACCCGGCTGGTGATGCCATTCATGGCCATGACCTGGTTCTCCATGACCAGGGTAAAAGGGATCACCACCACCGGGCAACTGGGCTCGGGAGTGGGCAGCCAAAGCCGCTGCGCACACCAACACATAGATGAAACCCCGCATCTTTAATTTGTGGACAACGCGCAAGACTTCTAGATGAAGGAAGATTCCGTAAAGTAGTTCAACTGAAGTTTGGAGGAGAGAACTGGAGGTGAGTTCTGAGCTGACCAACTTGAGTCGATGACGATGGTATTATTCTATCTGATCAGGTGTTACAGTCCTATTTATACGATTGATCTTGGAATAAACTTCCGGTGGCATGGGCAAAGTTCCTTAGGCAAGGTTCTTGGGCAAACATAAGCGGGAGGGGTGATTGACCACTATCGAAGCGTGTATGAAAGACAGGTGTGGTATACATTGAGGCTACTAAGGGTCGGTCAGTTGTCACAGATCTTTTAATTAATCTTTATTTAGCCATTCGAATGATTGGCAATTAAGAGCCTTTCCTATCTTATATAAATAATCTCCTGACAGTTCCGTTGTGTGTAGCTACCATTTAAAACCATATGAACAATATTTTGACATTTTGACAATTTGCTCTACGGAATGATATAAAAATGTGACTTATGCTCAATATTCCTGCAAATTAAAAAATAATGATTTTAGCTTAGTCATTCTCGTTATCTTTGGATAATCCATCATTATTTTTCCGCTTTTGCAAAGACGGACAAATGGGTTGTGCGCACTGTTCTATATGAATTAGCTTAAGAGTATGGCTAGTTTGAAAACTAAAATACAATTTCATTGTCTTCTTACCAAGTACAAAAATTCTCTTAAATCATTTTCACAGATAATCGTTTGCTTAATGTCCCTTTCTTTCAGGTTCAAGGGAAGTTTTTAAAACATTTTCTTGATTACCAAAGCATGTTTCAATTTGCATGAAAACAATAATGAAGACAATTATCTTGTTCATTTATTCTAAAAGTAGTCTATTTCCACCGATTACCGAAGCATGTTGAAATGTTTTCCAAGAAAACCACGAAAACTTGTTCACGTTTTGACGAATAACGGAGAATCGTTAACTTCGTCTAGAAGAATTGAGGTTAACATTTGCTTTTTGACCAGGTATTCGTCATGATATCTGTCATTGGCTACAAATGGCTAGCAATTTTTGGACGTTGTATGATCAAATTTTAAAGATAGGGTATAATTCATTCCAAAAAGTTTGGTTCCCTTCCACATCTCCGTCTGTCCGTCTCTGTGTCTCTCTATATCTACCTCTGTTTTCTCCTCCCCTCTCACACACACACACACACACACACACACACTCTTTCTCTCTCTCTCAATATATAAATATATATACATATATGTATAATCTAAGAGGGATTCTTTCATATTATATATACATTTCTCTCACTTCTTTATGACTTTTTAGACATTTTTTTTTTGTCTTTCGCTCTCTCTGTTTCTCCCCTCTATATTTTTCTCCAATCTATCTATATCTCTGTTTCCGCTATCTTTCTATCTCTCTATTTCTTAACCCAGCTCCATGCTTTACTACCCTCTCTCTCTCTCTCTCTCTCTCCTATCTCTCAATTCCTTTCTCTCTTTCTCTCTTTGTCTATATACTCATCTCACTTCCTGTTTGGCTGACCAGCTCTATCATGACGCCGATGGAGAAAAAGTGTTAACTCGGGGCGTGCCACGTTGCTGGTCCATGTGACCGAACACAACGCCTCTCATGATCTTGCCCTTCGAGGGTGGCGTCAACATAATACCAGCCTAACCCACAAACAAGTCGTATAGTTCCACTATTATACAGAAGAAATACAATTTTTATCGATGGGTATGCTTATGATAAATGCCAAAGAAATACGTGTAATGTCATGACATTTTACACGTGTAAACTGTGTTTTAAACGTAAAGTTTGTTTTTAAGAGAAGTGTTTTATTAAAAACGTGGCATTTTTAGTGACTTTAAACATTTCTCTCCCCAAAGAGTAGCCCTGAATTCCTTGCAACTTCGTTGCATGTTTTTTCAAAGGCATTCTTAGAAAGAATCATGCACGTATTTGCCCTTTATCCCCTTTTTGTCTCGATGAGGATTGTGACTGGCTTTTTGGTTGGTCCAGCTCCATAACTAAAGACATCCACACATCCAGCTCCTTAAAAGAATTAAGATCTTGATGGAAATGTCCCGTTAAAAATGTGCTCTTCAGGAACCAGCATTTACGAGAAATTATGAGAAGTATCCGACAAGTTTAGACCAAACAATCATGTTACTGTGCGTGTAGTCCCATACATCCATTTTCGTGTGCGACGCATACGATTTTCAGCAAGATTGGGTCCATTTCATTTCTTTTCGTTCATTCCTAAACCTAACATGCATGAGTAATTATGAACTATAGCGATACACCTTTTCAAATTACTACCAGACATTTTGTTTAAACAATGTAATTGCAAGACTAGTACATATTTCATTTCGTTTGGCATACATCATGGCAGTTGTCATGAGGCATGTCGACTGCCAATCGGGGGGCACCATATTAATCCAATTAATGCATTACGGAAACTTCATTAAGGAATACTTCCTATTATTAACATAGTGTGAACTCTGTCTACTATCTACATGACAGAATCGTGTCTCGATTACATGCTTATGGGCTCTTCTTAGCTTCACCGGACTATATATCGCATGGTTCGCGGTTCAAGTTTCGCTGCAGCGGCACTAATGTCCTCTGGCAAGACATTTATCTACAGTTGCCACGCTTGACCCGGGTGAGGTAAATGGGTACCTGGCCGGAATTAATTCCTTGAAATGCTAGAGCGCCATAATGGCAGCCATGGTAAAGCCGGGGTATTGATTGTTGAGCGATAAGAGTGTCAAGTACTTTACAAGACATCCCTTTTTTTATTATCATTATCATTATTATTAATATTAACAATAACGATGGTGGCTCTTTATATAGCGCGCATGTCCGTCATGTCGTGACGGTCCTGGCGCTTCAACATTATTACCCCGGTCATAGCTGGCAGGCGATTATGTAGCGCTCTGGCTTGTCAGGTACTGATGTAAACCTGGGTAGAGAGTTGCAAAAGTGGATTAATAGGGACTTTTAGATTGAGTGGACGAGAACACGACGAACGCCGACTGATCATGCGTGTCAACGTACTCAACTGCCCATGTTGACTACAATTCTCGCTACCCCAAATAGCGATTCTGCCGAGATCCGGGGAAAATCCTGAAAACGCGCATTGCATTATGGGATAGCTTTTCGACATTACAGCTTCCTGTGCAGGTGCGCGATAGCGCAAACGTAAAACGCCGTCGCCACACAACGTGTATGCACCGAATATGTCGTCTGCTCGGTCTTGTTTTTTTTTCGCAAATATTTCAACGTTTATTTGAACATTTCATTCGTTGTTTTTTGCGTCTTTTGACATCAGTGACGATGGTTTTCTTTTGTGAGGCTGCACAGTGCTGGGCTCATGATTCCAAGCGTAAGAACCCTGAAAAATGGGGGTGGATGAAGGCCGTGACTTGGGATGGGACTCTATACCGGAAGTTGTAGTGACGACCCGAGAGAGTGAAAATTACCTCGTCTCGCGAATTTCGAGATTTTCGTACCTATTTAGGGTAGCGAGAATTAGGAATCTTTTAGATTGCATTCGACGATATACATGCATGCAGGAAGTAACACTATGAACATGAAAGACCAAGAAAGAGGACAAACTATACAGTTCCTCATTCTACCCTCAACGATTGCTGTGAATCTGCATGTGACACATGTTCTACACATGTTTACATAATAGTAGGGCTCAAGGGCGGGGGGGGGGGGGAGAGAGGGGGGGGGAGGGGGTGCTAACAATTTCAAATAGATTTCAAATTTGGGCCCCACCCCTAAAAAAATCCTGGATCCGCGCCTGTGGGGGGGGGGGGGGTAAACTGAATTTAAACGAGGAATAAAAGTCGAGAACGGTACAACAAATCGGTTACTTTCTCTAATGATTTAATGAAACGTAAAAGCTTCGGCGCTTCGCGCGGGAGGGGGGTGGGGGGGGGGGGAGGTAAACTGAATTCAGACAAGGATTATTTTCGAGAATCGTCTTCTTTGTCGAATAATTTAATGAAACGCCAAAGCTTCGTCGCTTTGCGGAGGAGGGAGGGGAAAATCGCCCCTCCCTGCACCCCCCCCCCCCCACTACGTCAATGCATGTCACCATTACGTACCGATATTTGGGTCGCAGAATTTTAAATTTGGGCCCCCCTAAGAAATCCTGGTTCCGCGCCTGGTGTAGAGCCTCTTAAGCGTTGGGAGCCCCAAAAGTTTGATGGTTAGTAAAATTTGACTCAAATGTTATCATAATGTGAAAGAGGATCTAATAATATCAGGGTGGACTTTCCCTCCCTGTATTTAATAATGAGCAGAAAAGTGTAATCTTTTCCTTTTTTCATTAGACCATTTTTCTTCAACATGTCTCAGCAACATTTTGTTTATATTCTCTCATTCTTTTGTTTGTTAATAAAACTTTAAAAAGTTACGCAAAGCGTTGTTTGAATATAAAGCTAAAATCTGACCGAACGTTGCCTGCCCCAGATATCGATTGCACAATCATGGATTGTATGTACTAATTCCAATCATGTTTTCACTCCGATGGATTGCTTATACTCCTTAGCATATAAAACAAGCTACAATAAACACACCGTTTGGAATAGTAGAATTTTAAACAGGTTACGTTGGGTTCTTGATTATGTGCATGACAATCAAACCTTTCTGATTATCATAATAATTAAAACACCATATGGAATGGATTTGTAAGCAGGTAACCTTAGGTTCCTGATTAGTGCACGACAATCAAACCTTTTTGATTATCATAATAATTAAAACATCATATGGAATAGAATCGTAAACAGGTAACCTTAGGTTCTTGATTATAAAATTGTGCATGACAATCAAACCTTTCTGATTATCATAATAATTAAAACACCATATGGAATGGATTTTTAAACAGGTAACCTTAGGTTCCTGATTAGTGCACGACAATCAAGCCTTTTTGATTATCATAATAATTAAAACACTATATGGAATAGAATCGAAAACAGGTGACCTTTTTTTCTTGATTATGTGCATAACGATAAAAACTTCATGATTATAATATTACTTAAAACACCTTTGTTTTACAATCTTTTTAGGTGCTCTTCAAAAAAAAAGATTAGAGATAAATGAGGTAAAAGTAATTATAGCTGTACAGGTTAATGCACAGA